AGCCTTGCCACAGTTGCAGCAGAGTATCGACTTCTTCGGGCAGTCCCTGGTCTGATGGGTGCCCACACACCCTCCACATTTCCTTGCCTTATCGCAGGAAGTTTGGGTATGCCCCCACTGGCTGCAGTTAAAGCACTGCTTGTCTTGTGCCGGGGGTGACCAGAGCTGGGCCATGTATAGCATTGAGTCCATTACAATGCTATTTCGGATCACTTCGCGTTGTAGGGCCTCGGTCGGTAAGCTCGCAATAACTGACCCTTGAGTGTGGCCATTTTCCTTCGCCCAGGTGTGTTCCTTCCCGTCATAGAGCCACCTCACCCTGTTAATTTATATGCCTGGAATTCGTGCTTTTATCTCCGTCGTCATTTTAAATATTGCCACGCTGTTGTTGGCATTCTTTCCTCCGTGAATTATTGTCCCCGGTGGGACTCCCAAGATGCCAACAGGGTAATCCTGCTTTAGGACGCAGAACTCCTTGGGCTGCGCCATCCTTAAGGCAGCGTCTCGCTGGGAGACCGACTGCACGAACACCTCGGTATCGTTGCTCCTTAGTTGCCTCACGGCGTATGCCCCAGTTATGTGTAGCTTTGCCTTGTTAAGCAGCTCTGCCGGCTATATATTGTTTGCTCCCTCTACTCGAATCCGTACTGCCGCTTTGGTTGCTGGCGGCGCGACGATCGAGGCGTACGCGGGTCGTCCTCCCATAGTTTGCGCTGGTTGTGATGCAGTCTTGCAGACCGGCTTTTCGAGACTCTCCTTTACAACTTTCTCTAAGGCCAACATTCGTTCTTCCATAGGGTTAGCCGTCAGCTTTGATCGGAGCATCTTAGCGTGGGCTACGAAGGCGTCAAGTAACTCATCTATCTCGACCTTTGGTGTCGCAGATTTGTCAGTTCCTGCAATCGCCAGTCTATCTCTAACCTTGTTTAGATAGTAAGCAATTGTTTTTAGTTTATCCAATTTCATGCCAGTAGAATTCGCGAGAGATTCTACAAGCATTAATACGGCTGTTCCGCTATCCGTTGGTGGTTTTGGTGGTACTGTGAAAAAATTTCCAGCCGTGAAATCCAACCTTCCAGTCCCCCAACTCGCCATGCCTAAGCGCAACGAAAAAAATTCGGAGAATCAGATGAGATGGGCCGATTAATATGGTAGCAATAATTAAAACGATGAAATAACGTTCGTGGAACGTGATGCCGCTTTTGACCAAATGATGATGTTTTTACTTGTAAACTTTATATTCAGATTTATCGTACAAATTTATTAAACCATCGCCGTGACTATGGCAATGATTTATTCTTTTAAACAAGATGAACCATTTAAATCTGGATTTTCTTCATTCTCTTCCACAAGATTTATTTCCCGAATAAACTTATTTATACCTTTCTTTGGTTTGGGATTACAGATTTCAGCCCGATGTCTAGGGCGTCCACAACGCATAAACAGGTTTAATTGAACCTTCTTTGCCTTTCTCCCGGGGTGATATGCCCATCTGGACCAATGTGTGACATATCTGTCCGGTCAAGAATAATTGGATCTCCACCCAGTGGTACGACATAAGCTCCACTAGCGACAAAAGTTGGGTGAGGAACAAGCCGTGCAGATGGTTTCACGTAGGGGTCTTGGGAGGTTGGGTTGGAGATTCGAGGCCGAAAAGGTCTTTCAAGATCCAACCTTACCACACACTCTTTACAGAGTGCGACATATTCGTCAAACGTATACCTTTTATGAATATCTTAATATTGACTTATGCAAGTCTTCATCTCGTTGGATACCCGTTTCTCATACAAGATATCAAGGTTTTGTTGTCTGGTATGCCTGATAGGTTGTACATTCGTTGAAATTGATCAAGATACTAGCCAAAGGGCCAATTGGCCTATCTTAAATTGTTCATTTGCTCTCTAGCTTCTTCCTCCTCGTTTAGGTTCTTGTACGAGATATCCAGAGCCTCCCATACTGCTCTAAATGAGTCAAATTTTAATAGACCCTCTTCTGTCAAGTTCCTTTCCAAGAATTATTGAGGATCAGACCCCAAGTTCTGATATATGAGGTATATCTGGGATTTCAAAGACTCATAACTGTCATAATTTTGTGCCAGTGCAATTCTTATCTGACGTTGAAACGAGGGATACAGAGATTTGTCTTTTCCGATAAATTTAACATCGGTTCGGAAGGGCTCTGATTCTGACCTTCCGTTAGTTGTACTACTTGATTCAGGGTGTTCAGATAGTTGCCTGCGCAGATCCTCCACGCAGCGCTTAGCGGAGGCTAAGCGGAATAAGTCTACCGCTTAGGATCTTGATATTTAGGATGTATTTTTATGAGCGAGAGTAATTTCTTGTCTCAAGTCACCGATTATTGCATTTGATTCAGTTTGTTGTCTTTGGTGTGCAGTCAGGTTTTGTGAAAATTCTTCCTCTCAACCCGTAAAGAAATTGTTTTGGTGAACAAATCTGCAACAACTCTCTGTCTACCTTCCTCATCGAGTTGCTGAAGGTGCGAAAAGAATTCCTCTGAAGAATTGAATTGTCGTGGTGCCATGATAGGAACAGAAGAATTTTCGGATACTAATGGTTTCACGTAATGATAGTGGGGCGAGGTGCGATGTCAATGTGATGAAGATTCTGATGGATCAAGGTTAGGTTTAATTATCTAGACCGTGAAAGTCCCCAATGAGACTCCCAAAATTTCAACAGGGTAATCCTGCTTCAAAACGCAGAACTCCTTTGGCTGAGCCATCTTCAGGGCAGCGTCTCGCTGAGAAACTGACTGCACGATTACCTCAGTGTCATTACTCCGCAACTGCCTTACGGCGTATGCTCCCTCGATGTGTATTTTTGCCTTGTTAAGCAGCTCTCTCGGCTGCATTTTGTCTGCTCCTTCTACTCTTATTCGAATAGCTGCTTTAGTTGCGGGAGGTGCAACGACCGAGGCGTAAGTTGGTCAACCTCCCATTCCATTTGTCAACTGAGGAGTCGTCTTGCGCACTGGCTCCTCGAGACTCTTCTTAATTTGCCTTATCTGAGGCTAGTATCCTTCCCTCCATTGGCTTTGCCGACATCTTCGGTTGTAAAATCTACGTGTAGGCTTGGAAGGCGTCAAGAGCCTCATCTATCTCCACCATCGGTGCCGTAGATATGTAAGTACCTGTATTCACCAGTCTGCCTTGAACCTTACTTAGGTATGACCCCACTGTCTTTCAAAAATCCATACTAACGCCTGTAGATGTCGAGAAATGATATACATCCGTAATATCGGCCGTTCCGCTGCCCATTATTGGTTGTAGTGGTGCCGTGAAAAAATTTGCAGCCGCGAAATCCACCCTGCTGGCTTCCTAACTCGCCATGCCGTAGCGCAACGTGGAAAATCTGAGGAGTCAGGTAATAATGAACTATTTAGATGATAACAATAATCAAAACGATGAAATAACGTTCATGGAACGTGGTACAGCTTTTCGTGAAAAAATCAACAATATATACTATTTTCCTGTTGAATTTATGTAACGGTTCCGGTATAAAAAGCATGGGCGTTTGTGTATCGAAAGGTATTAAGGAAATAATGACCCCTCAGTCATTGAGGTTGTAGAGCGCATTGATTCACGTGACTACCGAAGTGAAACCAAGTACATAATTCGTAGTCACGTGCATATCTACAACTTTTTTTTTGCATCAGATTTTAATTGTGTATGCAGCTATCTAGCTATGACACAATATCAAAGAAAACTACAGAATAGATGATTCAACGTGAGGGAAGAGCACTCATGCCTCGGATTTCATTTGCAAGTACCACTGCAAAGTTATGGCGGCTTTTTCTTCACCCCAAGTCAACCCTCATCCGCGAATACCCACCCAGGGGAACGTCTCAAAAATCCTGAGTTATCCAAGCATGCCTCCATCATCTTTCAACTTTTCTCCGCGCGAAATATGGTCTGAGATGTCTCCTTCCCAAGTGGAGTAGGTGCCCAGGCTACCCAGACTATACCAGAGAACACCACCAGGAGGCGGATCACAACACCTTCCATCGTTTGCTTGTGTTTATAGTGTCGCCTGCACTCTCGCAAGCGAATTCTTGGCGCGCACAAAGCCCGATTCGTAAAACTACTTGCCGAAATTCGGAATCTCACGCCCTTCGAGGTTATATCCTTCCATTGCATCGTCTTTTCAACTTGTCCTGATCCCTCTCACGTCCATCCCAAAGAACTGTCTCCCAGATTTGTGCGCCACGCTTTGCTTCCTCTGCAGGGTATAAATATTGGCGTGAGCGTGTATTTAGTGGTCAACTAAGGCCAGAGAAGGTCGAAGAGTGGTGTGGTCATTGGGATGAGGATGTACTTGGTCGTACTTGAAGACTTGATGAGGCTTAGGTATGAATCGGACTCTTTGGGAGTGAAAGATTGATATGGTGGAGTATTTTGAATCGTTGCCTCGCGGGCGAACTTCTTTGATATTGCGAAATGTGACTGAACTTGGCTCTGGAAGAATATTTCACTCCCAGAATCGTGGAGGACACCGCGTACAGGAGTTTAGTCTTGCCCTCCACTCGAACTTTGTGCGTGACAGTCGAAAACTACCATGAATCTTATTAGGTCACACAACTCAGCCAGACTCCATCTAGGAGCACCAATGTTAGAATTTTCGAGAACTTTTGTTCGTCAAGCATGCTATCATGCTGCAAATAAGCACCATCAGTATTATTTAGTGATTTACTGTATTCGATGCAACGACATTCTATCACGAGCAATTTTTTACTATGCTACTTACAATATTTCTAGGAGACTATATGTAGGGAGAATTACTTGAACATCTCATTAAAGACATCTCATCGTTCTAGTTACCTTCCGAGTAGTAATTGTGGATCATGGAAACCTTGAGGGATCCGAGACGCGTCAAATCAGAAGTTGGATTCTTATCTTATCTCATTTCGTACAGGATACTAGAAGCTGTATTTCCTACCCTCGGCACAGAAGTTTATTTTATATTCTTTCATATTATCCTACCATGATGTTCGAAGAAATAATAGTCCATCTTGATACTGTTACGTTATTATCGCTGTTATCAGTTATATTTCTACTTGTAACGGCGTACTTGACGTCTACTCGTGTGCTAACGGCTGCTACGCCATCTTCTCTACGTATCCTATTCGTCTGGCACCTCTTCGACTTCTTTATCCACACCATTTTGGAAGGCTCGTTTCTCTACGTTTGTTTCTTCACTTCGCTATCGTTTGAGCCCGATGTGCATGATGCAGCCCTTATCAACCATTTTCGCAGTGATCCAGAGCGGCTATACGGTGCTGCTTACGGCAGCAACTGGGCAAACAAATTGTGGATGGTCTACGCCCAAGCTGACCGACGCTGGTCCGGTGCAGATACTTCCATCATTAGTTTGGAATTGCTGACCGTTATCGTTGGGGGACCTTTGGCATTGTACATTTGCTATGGTATCGCCCGGCGTCATTCAATGACTCCATTCTGGATGATCATACTAGCTACTGGTGAATTATATGGAGGTAAATCTTGGCTCAACTCCTACCAGTCCAGGAACAAAATAACTGACTCACGCGTGACCTCAGGCTTTATGACCTTTATGCCCGAATGGCTGATAGGTAGTCGGAATTTAGACACAAGTAACTTCATGTACATGTGGTTCTACTTAGTATTTTTCAATTTTATATGGGTATTGTTTCCAATTTTTGCTCTTCGGATCAGTTACAAGCAAATAAGTAATGCCTTTGCCATCAATCAGAAGCGTTTTTCGGCGGAGACATGGTTTGATGGCAAGAAATTGGCATAATCTGTCAGCGTGGGGTTTGGTAGATATGTGATTAGGACATGGATAGCTCAGCTCAGAGTCCTTCGTAGTCATGAAGAAATGAATATTCATCCATGACGGGCACAAGCCTAGCACTCATAAAGCATGACACGGAGAAGGCTAATCCTTCCCCGACGACTATATACCACGATAATCCAGGTTGACATTTGGACTACTCATTAAGTGGGTGCACTCTCTGATACCACTCGAGACCTTGGTGCTAGGGACTTTCACTCTTCCCTTAAGCGCTAATATCCACCTAACAGAAAACACCTTTAGCTACCCTAACAAGCCTTTGTCATCCTGTCTATAATCGCTGCGCGAGATATGGCCTCACAGTCCTCCCTTTCTCGAGTGGGGTAGGTGTCCGGGCTACCCAGACTTTAATTCGGAGAGATGACGACCAAGAAGCGGACCAAATCGCCTTCTATCGTTGCCTGTTTTTAGAGTGCCGGTTGCACTATCCGAAATCGCTGCCTCGGCGCCCACGGACACCCGTAAGTCGAAAACACTTGAAACATGTGCGTCCCAGCATGCCCATTTGTGACCTCTTCACTTGTTCGTCCCACGTCCCAGCTGCCTGTCCTCCCTCAAGATGTGAAGCCCTATTAGAGCAACGGTCCCCCATAGACTAAGACCCGGGCTTTGTATATTATAATTTTGTTTCCTCCTCGCGGGTATACATAGCATCTTAATTTTATAGTGAGAGATTTTTGATTTTTGATGAGGCAAATTCCCGATTACAATTGGATTAACGCCTTTGTCGGTAATTGAGGCAGAAGACTCGCACGAGAATAGTATGTCTGACAGTGATGAGAAGTCGTCATTTTTAGATCTGCTTGAGGTTGTTTTCGACTCCGATTCGGATGCGATTCTTCTCGTCTATCCCAGAGATGCAGAGCATGCTGAGCTATTACACCAGCATCGCTGAAAGGTGGAGAATTCGTCCTTAACGGCTTCACGTCCGTCGAGATTGTATCCATCCTCTACATAATCCTGTAAACCTGTCCTAATTTATCTCATGTCCATCCCAAAAATTGCCTCCCAAATTGGTGCACCACAGTCTGCGTCCTTCGGCGGGTACTCATATTCCTGCTGGCGTGTCTGTGGAGGCCCGAGACTGATTTTAGGAGGTTTGGTCATTAAAATGAAAATGTAGCAGGTCGCACTTGCAAACTTGATAAGGCTTCGGCCAGAAACGACCTTTTTGGGAGCGGAGAATTGATTTGGTTTTGAGTATTTCATCATTGCCTCGTGGGCCAAGTTGATTGGTATTTTGAAATATTACTGAGCTTATCTCTGGGAGAATATTTCATACCCAGGTTTGCAGAGGACGCCACGTACCGGTGTTCAGTCTTTGCCCCTCTGGCGCTCGCAATGCTCAATGGGAAAAACTCTTTCCAGTAGTTCAATGTCCCACTCCTGCAAAGATTTATATCCATCCTAAGTGACGCCTCGGTACCACTCCCGGCATCTCTTGAGCCAATTCTGAAGACTTGCCCCAAAAATTTGCGCGCCACAATTTACTTTCATTGGGTATTAACACTGTCGTGGACGTGTGTTTGAAGACTAGCCAAGACCAAAAACTAACTTATTGAGGGGACTGGTTAATAAAACGAGGCTGGGTGCGGCTTGTTCGGAATGGTTGTGGTGGGGAATCTCGAATCATCACCTCATGGGCAGACTTGGGATGGAGAAATTTGAACAATCTCGGCACTGGTGTATTATTTCACTCTTAGGTTCGTAGATGACGCCACAGACAGTTGTTCAAGCTATTTCCTCCAATCGACCTTTTTCCATGCTCTAGCTCTGCTTTGATAATCTGCAGCGTCGAATCACATGTAGTGATGCTCTCCAAACTAACTACTAACGCAGTCTATTACTACACCTTAACATCACCTTTAACGACAAGGAAAATACTTCCAGCCTCAAACGTGTTGTTGCCCGTGGAACTGAGTTCAATTTAGCGGCTTATAGATCGATTACAGATGGGCCAAGTGTAGCAATAGCTTGGCTTCTGATTAGTAGCCACTGACGGAATAGGAAGCCTTAATCGCCGGCATGTCAAGCAGTGTATTTTAGTAAACCAAAACCTTGCAGCACTTTCTAGAGCGCTTATTTCGATGGATAGCTTGCACTGCTAGGCGCAAGATTCGAAGCTCATACTAAGATATCCAGTTGGGTTAATCATCTGCTGTTTCGGGAATTTGCCCCGTGGAAGATGAGTTGGAGGGTAGAGGCCTACACATGTGACCAACTTCAAAAATAGCTTTCGCTTATCCAACAGTAGTGGGTACTCTTTCCACTCTGCTGCTTCTTGTAGTTAGCTCTATCTACTCCAATAATTCGTAGGCTCTCGAACTGTAAGTATAATTTTTAAAGGAGTCCCAGCGCCAATCCGCTCTTAATTCTCTAATCTTAATTCCTAGATTGCAAGACAGGAAGGTCTAGGCCCTATGTAGTCCATTGAGTTCCATGGACGCCAATACGTCGGATAGCCTTGAAAGGCTGGGCTAGCAAACACGTGAAAAATACTTCCGCACTGCTTAAGTAATCTTGACACAAAAGATATCGGGTTCTTGTGACTGGCGATGCAATTCCAGTAGTAGCAACGTAGGCTTGACTGGAGTGTGTAGCATTTGCAAATATCCTTTATTCTCTCATGTGACAAATACTTGGGAGTGTAATTAAATGGCCATTCCTTGTTGGGGGTGACCTGGACTTCTCTGAACCCTTACCACAACAACTATTCCCAGCAATCTCGCAATTTGCAATGGTTTCGAGGACGGTAAATGACACTAGTGGCTGGCCAGAGATGTTCGTTTCACGTAAAGAGAAGGCTAGTTGGAATATTGAAGGCCCCTTCTTTTTTTCCACACCCATTTCTTCGCTGTTCACATATGTGGCTTTGACACGTCATTTTCTTTTTTTAAATCATTTAAGGGTATGCAGCTATCGAACTATGACTCATGATCAGTGCTATGTGTTCATGTTGGATGACTCATTTGACTCTAGAGACACACGTACTTTATATGAGGGTACACTAAATTTTGGTGATGTGCTGGGTGAGACTCTAGGAAAACACCGCTGACATGCGTACATCTCTTGCCCTCTGGCAAAGTATAGTAATAAGATTGTCAATATACGGGATTTCTACTTCATCTTCTAGGGGTGATTCTCAACACCTGTCGGTGGTGTCCCCTACGAACCTCCAGCTCTCACTGTAGAGTCTGCAGAGCCGAGATTGAGTAACAAAGTCCTCACTTCGACGAGGATTCCAAATCGCTTTCGCGGTCTGTATCGTCTTCATCTCTCTGCACATTCCCCTATCACCACTATCATGAAGCTAACCCCGATCAGATCAGATAGTGGGGCCGGAGTCCTGTTCATCATTAACACTTGATCATGGAGGAAAAGCCATCCGATGAGTTTCCGGAGCGCACCCAGCGCCCGATACGGAGATGGTGGATTGGATCAAGTCGGCTTCGACTGTTACAAAGAAGGGAGATATAGATGGATATGCGCACCTCATGTGGTCCCGGTGTCTAGGCCTCGCCTGACTAGACCTGCAGGTTTTTTGAGACTTTTTCCCGCGCACGCAGTTTCTATAGCTACCATTTCTATTTTTTCTGGGTAGAGGGTTCCGTGGAAAAAGTGGCCGAATTCCACGGGAAAACGCTGAGTTGAATGGCTATTCATCACGGACAGTATATCAATGATCTTACAAGTAACAAAAGAGGCAAGGAGCACTGTACAAGGTGTGGCCTGGGCCAGAGAGGAGCCCAATGTGCTAGGTAGTCTATGAATCAAGTAGTGCAATAATCAAACACACACATATGCTACGTCTTGTACAGTTAAATCCTAAGACGGTGTGTGATTAACCTCTGGATATACTGAACGTGTCTGGTAGTCACAGATGTTTGTACTAAATGGTCCATGACTCAAGTAGCACAATTGCCAAAAATCAGGCACATATGACTGTCCACTGTGCATCGCGCATAAATGATGGTATTCACGTGACATTTTCTCGTGCGAGCTATCTGATCAGGGGTCTCACATGCTTAGTGTATAATATAAATGTTTCATAATGCTTTTGGCGCCGATGACACCATCTCTCTGTATTCGATGTGTAGATAACAATATAACGCATATTTATTAGTAATGAAGATTAACATACATCTACGAGCACCCATCAACGGTAATTCTTGATGTCTCTGGTCATTCAAGCACACGAGCAGGGCGAGAAACTTGGTCAAATCTTGCTTGGTTTTAACCAGCCATCTTCCGTCTCATGTGGAGTGGGTGTCCAAGCTATCTAGAGTGTACTTGGGAAGCCGGGCCGGAAGAGCCCCTTCGTCCCCTGAGTGAAATAAACTCATTCTTTCTGATATTAGCTTAGGGTGGATGTTGTGAAATGCATAAAGCCCATTGCCGATTACATATTTGAACGAGTCTTTTCCTAGCGACTCCGGGGTCCACGCGATTAATGAACTTGACGGTATCGTTGTCCCAGGCAACAGAGAAGAGTCCGTTGATGAAGTCCTTAGCTGTAGAGCGCGATTTTGATTGCGACTCATCTATGATTGTTGCAACCATTGTACCGTGTTTGAGATCCATATCATGTAGTCGCCGGGTAACCAGCCCATCTGTCTCCTCATTGGACAATGCTCTGTATCATCCAGCCAACCAGGCCATGGAGTTTGGATATAATTAAGGACCCTCCACGCAGTTATGACTGCGGAGGATCGAGGCCATAGGAGCACTGGAGGTAGTATCGAATTGGTATCATATGGCCTTTTATTTACCCAAGATCACCAAAATCGTTGGATGTGTTTGCCTGCCTGCCGAGCATGCCGTAAGCTAACTGTCAAACGATGTTCACCGGGCCACTGTTGGACACAAACTCAGCTCTGCAAACTTGATGCTAAGACCTTGAGGTCCATTAGAGGCAATGCCGGCAATAGTTAAGGCTTCGCTCTTCTTATCAAGGTACTGAGTAGCTAGATTTTGGTTGCAGGGAATCGTCAATAATACCTTGATCCCGGTCGGAAGTGAACAAGCACAATCGTGATAAATTGGTCAGTTGGCACTAATCTTTACACCCCTAATGCAAGCTCGACAGTCCACTCCATGACATGTTGGGCTGTAACAGTTGTGACAATGGATGTATGAAGCTTCGTGTTGTATCGAAGGCTTCCGGGTCAGGCTCATTTGTTCTATGATCAAATGAAGAGCTGCGAGGAGCGAAAGTTATGATTATATCATTTAAGCCACGCTGTAAATCTACGTATTTATCTATGGCTGACACATTGATTATGTGTTATAAGCTAATATCTGTGCCCTGACGATCACTTAAAATAGAATTTACCTGGGGTCCTACCCACTACCAGTGACCCGGCCGTTTGTGAATCCGCTTAACACGCAGGGCCGGGCACGTAAGGCAGTCCAGGTAAAACCCGTGATAGTTGTTGAGGCTAAGAAGGTGATTCATTGGCTGAGTTGCGGGATTCCACTAACTTTGAAGGAGTAATTTACATGTCTCATTATCCAGAACTACAGAACTACAGAAATTAAGATTACGGGTTAAATCTTCCAGCCCTAACCGTTATGAGTGTCACGAAATGAGGTCGTGATCTAAACGATCGAACGAGATTATCAAAGTCTGTTCTGATTCTCTATAATAATGATAATAGAGACAATATCAAAGCTAGATATACCTGCATGGGCCTGTAGGGTACCTGAACGGCCTAAATGAAATCAAATCCAAATGATGATAGAGAAGTCAGTCTATGATGCGCTTAAGAGTTTGTAATAGAAAGTTATTTTGCAGGGGGTATCTTGTTGGGCCTGGGACCCGTAACATTGAGCTACCAAGGATGAATAAAGATTGCGAATAAAGATGAACAAAACCACAAGAGTATTATCTGCTTGAGAATGGAGGCCCAAGTACTATCAGTGGTTTCAATTATGGACCTGTGACCGTCGAGTCTGCAGAGCTCGTTTTGGGGGCGACACTAGCCAGAAGCGCCCCTACTACCAATGAGGTCATGGTATCTTCCACAAACCCGCGATTGACATTCGATCCATCGGTCAGGAGAAACTTAATGAAGAGTAAAGACTGTTACAAGCATGAGATATAGTGAAGATGGATGAGGGTCGCTACTGACGTGGGAAAGCTGTAAAATATAAGAGATAATGTCCATCTCGTAGCACCGTTATCCTTGAGCTATACATCGAAAGGAACTACCCGTACCAAATTATCATAGAATGAGAATAGCAAATAATCATAACATAATCTTGTCTTTGCAGAATAATGCACGTACAGGGGTGGGATCTTGATTTTTGGTTGCTCTACCTCAACATCACACATTAGCCTGGGAGTCGACTCGTCACGTTGTTTCGGCGGTCCGTGAATGATAAAAGTGCACGTTAAATGGCATTTACAGCATCCGTCGTCCTGACACAAACTAGTTTCACGGGTGTGCCTAAGAGTAAAAGTTTGTAGTCTTTGATTGCAGCGGTTCAAATTCAAATTTGGTAAAAGTTGTACCTGGTGCTAGAGCTAGGCTTCATGCAGCCATGAGAATGGTTAACTGCAAATTCATGACTTCCAACTTTCGAGACTTTTCTTTTCTGCAAAGTTTGTCGGCGAGCACCCCTGTCAATTACGGTCCGTCTCGGTGCGTGACACCTGGCCCATGAGAAGGCCAAGGACATGAAACAGACGCGCCCCACGGATGTGCCCCATAAACCGTTACGCCTTAGTCGAGGTCGGTTTTTGTTGGGGATAGTATTTTGAGCCCGGGGAATCTTCCTCAAGTCACAGGGTTCGCAGAGGGCGACTGTTCTTTCAAGAACATCGTAACATGAAATACGCCTAAAACCGAGCATTGAATCCTTCCAGACGCATTCAAAATGGATGCAAGATATTGGGGGCTTCAATCTCGCCTCGACTGATTTCCCATGAAAGATGAGCGCAAGACAGCGAGAGAGAGACGAACAATCAGTCAACCAATTTTTATTGAGTCAATCACCTGAGAGTACTAAAATGAGAGATTTCAGCCTTCGACGTATAACAGACAAATAATCGAGTGTCTAGACTTCAATATCCGATGATAAGTAGCGCACCTCTGAGAAACTATCAGGAATGATACCTTTACCCTGCGTCATTAAGTGAAGTTCAACTTTGTCATATTGACTCGTTAGGACAATAAACAATCATTCAACTTTGTCAATCAAGAGGTGGGCGAATTGTACCATCTACTTAACGCAAAGACTAGGAGACGACAGGAAACTTTCTCGGTAGAGGCGTTGCTTAGAAAAAGAAATAAATTATCTGTAAAACTTTAGTAACCGTCCGATCCTATCATGGATAGTCTCACTTTTGACAAACCTACCATATCCCTGACATTTTGATCGACGGACATGCAATCGCTTGGACCCGTGCATTGATGTGGGTAACGATGTGTGGGTAGAGGATGATGGATGATGAAGAGTGGGACATGGGCTTGGAGGAGCGCTGGGACTCTGACATGAAATGTACACTGCCCCAGCCAAGTCGGGACAGCGGAGTGTTAATATTATTCATATACTATCATCACGTGATAAATATAGGGGGCTCTAAAGTAGTATGTATATTCAAAGTTTCTTCTCATTATCTATGAATGCTACAGAGATACGTCACAACCTTGTGACCTGAGCTTTTACACTTGCACAACCTAGAAAGTGTGAAAATTTACACACTCTCTTTTCTCGTGATTTCACGTGAGCTGGCCTTTTGATGGTGTCTAAGCTGCAGGTTTGTTGCCGGTGTGGGCTGGGATGCCCGGTTAGCTAGTTGCTAGGCGCGATGAGATTCAGGTTCTACTATGACTAGCTCGGTAGCCTCGCGGTTTACCACACGCTCTTCTCATGGCGGTCATCTACGCGACTTGGATTCGGTCACTTTTAGAGTTGTGGATGTGGGGGTTTTTCTGAGTCGCCTGATAGTCATGAACCAAGGATGCTCAAGAGTCTGCGAGGAGCATGCAGTGGCATCGGAAAAAAGATTTTGCTGACAGCAGGACTGCATGTATGTGATAATTAGATGGAGGGGAAGGATTAGCATAGGTTTATATTCTCAAACCTTCCAGACTTCCGGTCTTATGCCCCTTTACCTGCTGCCGACAACTTGTAACCCTAAGCCATCCAGCCACCCCGGACCCTGGATATACATCTCTCCAGCTCCCTCCCTTTGCAGCAGCGCGCACATGGACAAAGCACGAGGAAAACATATCATCACTCTCGACTACCCGCAACGCGATCAAACCCACCGCTGATTACCGACTATCGTTATTCCCACGGTTTTGACTCAACTTCTACAACCGCAATCTTTGTCACAAAACCCCCATTTCTATTCCTATTCTACCGCCAGCCTCCATCATTCACTTCTGCCATTGCTCTCCTATGGTCTAACTATCGAACTTACACTAAACTTCTGTACATCAAATCATTTCTACCATCGCGTCGCATTAGATCAACGCAGGCAAGAAAAAAACATCATCGCCTTCAACAAAATCTTACAATTCTCGCCCACGCTCTCGTCGCCACTATCTCGTTGCGAGCCCATCAAAAGATATTAGAGTCGCACAAGCCCACCAGCTTAACGTGTAGATTATTATAGACTACCAACCCAATTATTAAGAAGGATATTCTTCGACCACATATCGGGCTGATCCCCTCAACATGATCGCCGAATCCGATGTCGCTGTGATGCCTTACAATACTCGTCGCAAGATACTTTCTTTACCTTCCCTCGGAATACGTATACCGGTGGCTCACGGCTCCAAAGCAACACCGCGGCTCTCTCCGCCCGCTTCTACACTCAGTAACAAATTACCACTAAGGAAACAAAAGCGCACGCACACCACTTCACCGTCTCCATCGCCTCCGTCGAAACGAGTCTCTTTCAAATACGAAAATACACCACCTCCATCCCCCCCTGCGACCGACACGCACACTTGTTCAACTAATCATGACGTAAACCAAATTGACTTGGAAAATATCAACGACGAAATTGTTGAGGCTGTCATCAGCCAACTTCACAAGACGGGAAATCGGCCCCATCTCGTTAAAGAGCTTGCCGCAATTCTCCGTCACACCGTCAAAACCGTTGAACAGTAGGTCATGAGCCTCGTCCCCTATCCATAATCAACCGACATCTGATTGTAACTCTCTCCAGATCGGCTAATCCAGCTGCCATCATATCATCTCGATTGTCCTCTTACATAAAGCGAGCATGGTCCGAAGACGTGCCCTGTCCGCTAACGAAAGAGCTGGAAACTGCGCATCCGAGACGAACTCATTATTACCTCACAAAGTATCCGTGCCAGCCTACATTCGACCCTTCAAGTCGCACCACCGTACCCCCTGAGATTATTTCACCAGCGACTTCAAGCATTTCTTCCCAGTCCGATGATATAGACGCCGAACGGCGAAGAGAACTTTCACCGTCACCCGAAGTCGATCTTTCATCGCCAGAGTATGAAGATGAGAATACTAAATCACCACGACCACCTTCTTTAGTCGCCTTCCCCAAAAGCCGCGATCCTCTGGAAAGTCAGCGGTTCACATCGCCGCCACTCGAAAAAGATGAAAAGGAATTCACCCAAACTGCACGAGGTATGCAACGGCGTAGACCAGGAGATGTAGTAATGGATGGGATGCCTTCTGAGCTAGGCGAATACACTTCCAAGAGTAATGAATGCGATCCATTCTTCGGCAGGCAGTATTTACTGCCCTTAGGCCTAGTATATACGAGTAGTCCCGCGACAAAATCAAGTGCTCTTAACTGGTGGCGAAATCTCGAAGAATCATGTGAAATTTGGGGTCGTATTGATACCACTTGGGATACCAGGAGCCCTGAAAATATTGAACTCGAGGAGCTCGATGGTATGCTAGAAGAAATATAAAACCAATATTGGTTCCATCAGACACAATGGCAGACTAATTTTGCTTCCATATACATAGTAGCACATCCAATAAGCCAGGTTTTTACGAAGCCGAGAACCTACTACAGCATCAAAAGCGATGTTAGCATTCACTCTTCACGATAATGCCGGAGTTCTAGCTTGAAATTGGTCTATAACGTGCAGTAATCGAAAGAGAAGGAATTATCGGATCCATGTCAAGGCCTTAACAGCCAGCCGAGAAAGTGTAACATGTACGATGAAAAGGGTCCTGTAAATTTTTAGAATCTACACACGTAGCGGCGTCTGGACTAGGTATGGGGGGTAGTGGGTCAGAAAGGTCGCGGTTCAATATATGGGCTATTCGGAGGTGCTAAGTGGCCGCGTGCATTGCCTAATTAAGTTGGCTCACAGCGTTATCAGGCTGTTGGAGCAATAGAAAATCTCCTACCATGCAAAAAATGCCCTGTATAGTAATTAGAACTACTCCGGCAATCATCCTCACGAACCCATGTTGGTGGACAATGTGCGCGGAATGTCAAAAGTATGGCAGATCAAAGCGTATGACTGCGTACACGCTACTAATCTAACTCCTGCGGGGTATCCATGCATAAATCTCATGCCTGGTCATTGATTGAGGTTGGAGTGTGCGTCGTGCCGATGCTCCGGCCTAATGACGGATAGAGAAAGACGCCCGATTACAGATTATCTACAGATAGCTGAGAGGTCCTAGAAGAATTGTCCCCCGTTCTCAGGCTATGCGAAATCGGCAGGCCGTTTCTCGTGACACGAATAAAGCATTGTTTACACCGATTCCCCGCGGCAATCTGAAGCCACTAGATGACCAGATGGCAAAATTGTGTAAAATGGAGAAGTTTTTTGTAAATCTTATAGATGGATGTAAAATTGATCCAAGGGTAGCTTCGTAGAGATGATAACTAGATGACTGGCTCGTTATCTGTCGTCTCAGATTTCTTGAGCTCTATCCAACACGTCGTACCGCCGTGCCACCATTTAGGAGTCTTCATATTCACAACTTCGAGTCCACTCTCGTCAATGATCGCGCGTATATCTCTGTTCCACCAGCAGCCGAAAGTGTGAGCGTGCGATTCGGCAGTCTGATCCAATATCCGATTCAGCCATCTCCAATGGCCACGTCCATGCTCGAGCAGCAAGATGCGACCATCTTCATCTAGACAGTCACTCATATTCCGAAGCAAGGCGATAGGATCATTCACAGAGCATAGGCCCATAGTCTGCACTATGGTATCATATCTAGCGCGTTGCCTTGCCCCACTAGCAGGTAGGTCAAACGGCGCATCAGGAATTGATGCCGGGGCTGTTGCGTCTGCTGCCACCCAACGTACGACGGGGTGTACAGAGGACGAATTCGGGAAGAGCGAGTTAAACTTACCACGCGCAATGGCTAGCATAGCTACACTTGAATCTATGGCCGTCAAGCTCTTGACCCCTTCTGTTTGATCTTGACGCCATTTTTCAGATCGGCTTTTGACATGGCGACCCGTGTCGCACCACTTGTAGAAAGCTAGGTTCCGACCAGTCCCGATGGATACTTCGAGAACATGACCTCGTGCTTGGGCAACTAGATTTTTGCGCAAACCGGTTATACCAAGCCAGTATTCATTTGAGTCCACCATGTCATCAAAAGTGCTTGCAATGCCATCATAGCATGCTGACACGTCAGCCTGCGCAGCCACGTTCGTAGTTACAATTTGGTGATTGGTACGACTGAGATTGATGAATATGAAGGTTGTGTAGGCCCCCATCATCGCAACAACTGTGCCTCCTATCAGTATGGAAATCGGGTGGAAACGAATTCGGTTCCCATAGCTAGAGCGCATGACAGGAGAAGGTAGCGGCAATTGAGTCCTCGGAATTGCTGGCTTCCTAATTAAAGTATCAGATGGTGGTGTTCCTCGAGAGGAAATGACGAACTGGATCAGACTTGCTTGTGGTCGTCAGAAATAGAGACTGGTTTCTTTTTCACAGAAATCTTTCGAGATGATTTCTTTGCAGTATGATTACACGCTGTCTGGGAAATACTTCGGAACTCCCATGTTGCCCATTGATAATTGTGGCGGACAAAGGCTACAGATGAATGTCGTAGTCTGAGATAAAACTTGGTCATGGGCTCCTTTAGTCGCTCAAAATTTTTTGCGTCGAATTCCCTTTGTCTGTATTTGATAAGTTCAAATTGTGATACCTAAGTTTTGATCGTACTTGTAGTTTGTGAGTGCATGTTTTCCAGAAGTATTGTGATAGAGAACGTCGATCACAAAGATTTCGATTATAGATGCCTCATTTCGCTTCCTTACGCCGTTAGCCCATGCTTTGCAGCTAACGGCATTGTTGACACCATGGTAACTCAACAAAGACTTCAGGAACAAATTTCATTCTTTCTGCGGCGGCAACGATTAGTGAGTCTTCCAATTGGAGCACACAGGAAAGAAAGCACCGAGAAAAAGGAAGAAGGCTGAACACCCGTCCGCAATGTCCTTCACGTAACTGGGACGAAAACATTTTCCCAGAATTACATTGATTCATATTTCGCAATACCAAAGATGTTAGCCTAAGAGGCAATAATTCAATACTCCCTACCGAATGAATACCTCACTCCCACCGAGATCTATTTCCACCAAGGTCTTATCAGTTTTACAAGTACGACTTTGTACATCCTTATTTCAATGACAACACCTCCCATCGACTTTTTCTGGCCTCAGCTGGGCGCCAATATATGCGCACGTCGAAGGTTGAAAGCTCTGGCGTACAAATTTTGGATGGAGATGAGAGAAACTAAGACAAAATTCCCAGATGATGCAAAGAAAGATAAAATCTCGACCGGTGAGAGGCTTCAAATTTTCGCAAGGAGATTAAACTGAAGAGTATTGTGTGCGCCAAGCTTTCGATTGCGAGAATGCAGCTGACTCTATAAACTCAAGCCAACGACAGTTTTCTTGGAGGAGTGTCCACCAATGAGGGCTCACTATGGGACAAGATAAAGCCACCAAAACTTCTTGGTGGTACTTGCGAATTATACCCGAGGCATAAGTGCTCTATTTTAAAATTGAGCTATCTACTCTGTACTTTGTCTCTGATATTGTGTCATAGCTAGATAGCTGTATATGCAATTAAAATCTATTGCGGAAAAAAAGCTGAGTCTCGCTCAAACTTTGCAGTACAGAATTTGGCCCACGAGGCAGTTATCTATGATCACCAACCACAATAATTCTTCGCTTGCAATGAGCCTGACTCCTTACAAAGCCACATCGAATCACTTAATACGAGTCGGATCATTCTCCGTAAAGATCCAGGCTCTAGCCTTCACTATCCTCCAAAAATATGCTAATGATGCCATCAAAATCTGCCGATGGCTTCATGTCACGGAGTACAATCCAAGGTAGAGAAACCTTTCGGATGGGCTATGGAGAAAGTACAATACACGAACCTTATTAAGCTAAGGATAAACAAGATTTCTTAAGAGATATAGAATCAGTTCTCGGAAGAAATTTAAGCCTGAAGAGTATTGTGTGCCTTACGAATTGCTCTGCGAGAGTGCAGATGATACTATAAATAAAACTGTGGGAGAGTATTATATCATTTAGGCTAATCCCTTAAGAAGATTTTGAATAGCTAAAGCACTAATTCCACATCAGATATAGGATGGCTTGTTAGAAACCAGAGAAACTTAGGCATATTTCTCGTATGGCTAGTGTCCAAAGATGACGAAGGCTCTCTTGGATAATCCATGGTCTTGAAACTTACACTGCTGGGTACTCAGCGATGACAGTCGAATGTTCTGTGTATGCAAACGGGTCTTAATGTAGCTTTTGCTACCGAAATCCAGAATCAAGCATTGTTTGGCACTTGTATAGGACAACGATTATATGCAGTAGCTTCATAGCCGAATATATATCAGATAATAGAAAAGTATGACTTTACGATGAAAATGCCTAAACTTCACATCTATCCCAAAAATTTTGTCTCATCCCTCTTCATAGTAAGATTGTATATACAAGTCGTTTCAAATATAATACAAGAATATATGTACCTCGAAAACGATGTCACCTCCTGTAAATATTTTACAGCTTTCCCACGACTGTACTGATCTCCATTAATCTTCACTGCATCTCATACTTGTAATAGTCTTTGCTCTTCATTAAGTTCCTCCTGACCGCTGGATCGAATGTCAATCACGGGGGACTTTTGCATCAGATTTTAATTGCGTATGCAGCTATCTAGCTATGTGACAATATCAGAGAAGTTTGTAATAGATGACTCAATCTAAAAGAAGAGCACTCATGCCTCGGATTTCATTTGCAAGTACCACTGCGAAACTATAGTGGCTTTTCCTTCGCCCCAAGCCAACCCTCATCCGTGAATACCCACCCAGGGGAACGTCTCAAAAACTCTGAGTTATCCAGACATGCCTTCATCATCCATTAACTTTTCCCTGCGCGAAATATGAACTTAGGATTCTCCCTCCCAAGTGAGGTAGGTGCCGAGGCTACTCAGACTATGCCGGAGAACACCACCAGGAGGCGGACCAAAACACCTCTCATTGTTGACTCGTGCTTACAGTGTGAGCTGCACTCTCAATCGCGGGTTTGTGCGGCCGGCATATTTTTCAAAAGCCCTTGGGTGCGGGTCTACTCTAACACCTACATCAGGCCCGCATCCAAATAAACAGCCATCTTTTTGAAGTTTAGGAGAGAGCTGGCCAGCCGGGCGCTAGAGGCTTATACATACCTTGGAGAAGCACCCCCAACTTTCCCAGCCTCTCATAACCTTCCGTCAATCGTGGCTCGAGACGAGTTTGGGTTTCGGTTGAAATGAGAGAGAAGTCATCTAAAAGAATGTGTGGGTGGGTGAGTTGAAGTAGCCAAGGCCGACTCTTTTGTGCGGCCTTGATTTGTGGAAGATACCATGACCTCATTGGTAGTAGTGGCGCTTCTGGCTAGTGTCGCCGCTAAAACGAGCTCTGCCGACTCTGTGGTCACAGGTCCGTAAGTTAAACCACTGAAAGATGTTCAGTCTATACACCTATAGATAGGTAGCTAGATTCAAACCTATGAGAGATGAAAGATAAACACCTGTCCGTAGTGTTCCATAAGTAATTGGGTGTGAAATGTTCTACTAAAACCCGGTTCAGTCAATCCTCGCAAAGCCGAAGTTAGCCCAGGAGGCAATCCAAGATTTCCCGCCTCATCAATTTTTCTCTCTCGACAACATCATTTACGACAAGGGCCTTGACAAGTCTACAAGTATGACCTAAAGTGTCCTTATTTGAATCACCGCACCTCTCTGCAACCCAGTTTCCGGTCTCTGTTGGCAACCAAATATACGGTCACCACAATGTGAATTGTGGCATGGGCAAAAAATTGGCGTAAAAATCTACCGCGGCACAATATTAGGATGGACGTGAGAGGGGCAAAGGGGGGTGTGATGATGTGGAAGGAGTCGACCGATTTTTTGCGAATAAAACTTCGGATCGAAGAGCAATATGCGCTTACGGACATGGTTATTGACGATGCAGAAGGTGGCAAACACATCGAGTGGGCTGGATGGTGCAGTGGTATAACCCCCCATGCCGGTCTCCCGAGTAAAGTCTGGATAGCTTGGACAACCATTCTACTTCAGGCAGGAGATCGCTGCTTTGAAACCAGGAAAGCTCGGCTATATTTGTCGTCGTGTTGCTGCGCATGGATGACGAATGCATGCTAAGAGATCCAAAGGTTTTGAAACTTCCCTTCAAGCACCCACGGACGAGGATCGACTAATTGTTGTCGCCAAACACATCTCGGGGGCAACTGCAAGCGAAATCCCGAGTAAGCGTCTCTAAACTCAAAAGAGTCATGTGATATTTTACAGATAGCATCGATTAAATGTTACAGCTATCTTGCTTGACACACTAAGGATAAAATGAGTAGAACTGGACGTAATGCCTTAGACTCACAGTGAGTTCAAGCCTATTTTGGAACCTGGACCCCTCGCAATATCCAGCATAACTAGCAAGTGTATATATTCATGTTCGCCATCTGGTACAACCTTTCAGACACCGGGATGAATGCGACTTGTATCTCCAGCAGGGCAGGAATCCCTTGCTTCCCAAATTCAATCCCAGATATCCTGCAATCCAGATGAACACCCGCGTAGTTAGTCTGACGGCAGATAACGTTCAAGTGAAATTTCATGTTGAGAAAAATATCAAACATCCAAAGAGGCTTATTAAAGAAGTCAGAAAGCTTCTCATGAGACATTGACACGAACAATTCTCCGCAGTGGAAGCTCAGCACAAGCATCTAGAAGCCAAGCAAATAATGCGCTAGGGCGAGGAGTCCAAGCTTTTTTTTTTTTTTTTTTTTTGCATCAGATTTTAATTGCGTATGCAGCTATCTAGCTATGACACAATATCAAAGAAAAGTACAGAATAGATGATTCAACGTAAAGGAAGAGCACTCATGCCTCGGATTTCATTTGCAGGTACCACTGCGAAGTTATGGTGGCTTTTTCTTCACCCCAAGTCAACCCTCATCCGTGAATACCCACCCAGGGGAACATCTCAAAAACCCTGAGTTATCCAGACATGCCTCCGTCATCCATCAACTTTTCTCCGCGCGAAATGTAATCTGAGATGTCTCCTTCCCAAGTGGAGTAGGTGCCCAGGCTACTCAAACTATACCAGAGAACATCACCAGGAGGCGGATCACAACACCTTCCATCGTCGGCTTGTTTTTATAGTGTCAGCTGCACTCTCGCAAGCGAAGTCTTGGCGCGCACAAAGCTCAATTCGTAAAACTCCTTGCCAAAATTCGGAATCTCACGCCCTTCGAGGTTATATCCTTCCTTTGCATCATCCTGTAAACTTGTCCTGATTCCTCTCACGTCCATCCCAAAGAACTGTCTCCCAGATTTGTGCGTCACGCTTTGCTTCCTCCGTCGGGTATAAATATCGGCGTGGGCGTGTATTTGGTGACCAGCTGAGGCCAGAGAAGGTCGAAGAGTGGTGTGGTCATTGGAATGAGGATGTACTTGGTCGTACTTGTAGACTCGATGAGACGAAGATAGGAGTCAAACTCGTTGGGAGCGAAATAACGACGTGGAGGAGTAATTTGGATTTTTGCCTCGTGGGCCAACTTCTTTGATATTGCGAAATTTGACTGAACTTGGCTCTGGGAGAATATTTCACTCCCAGGTTCGTAGAGGACACCGCGTACAGGTGTTCAGTCTTGCCCTCCGTCCAAGCATTTTATTCACGTTGGAAATATGATAGGTTTGTTGAGCTGCCGATAGTTTCCGGACCATTCGCTGTGTATGCGGCTATTTACTCGTGATATACAGTCAGTGACTTGCCACATGCTGGATGACTCTTCTGACTCCCGTCATTTTATGGAGCTTAATTGTAGATACTAGCATGAATTGTGGTTACTAAAACACAACGGTCAACCTCGTCCGTGAGTAGATAGAGGAAAGTATCTTTACCTTTGGTTATCTAAGCATTTCCTCGTTATTACGTACACGAGGTCTGCGAGAAGAGTCATCAAGTCTCACTTGATCCGAACCAGGATTCTCCTATCTCGTGTGGTGTAGGTGCCCCAGCTTCCTAGACGTTGCTCAAGAGATACGCCTAAACGGTGTGCCACTGCACCATCCGACCCTTGTTTGAGACACTGTGATTGGGATGCGGGTGGCTGATTTCGGATTCGCTGATTTCTGGTAACCAGGATTTGGGGTCCGAGCTTACAAGAATCCTCAACCCTGAAATGTGAAAACTGATAGTGTAAATGAGACGCTTCACTTACACCGAGTTAGTATACGACAAAGTGTCAAGCGCTGCCCACACACTCCGGATATTGTGCATGCAACTTTGCCCGATTCCTCCCAGCGGAGACTATAGACATGTCTGTGGATATTCATGTACTTCCAATTTTGATATCATTTAGCCCGATTTGGCGCCCTTTTGGCCCATGCAGGTGTCTTTTGAACTCTGGTTTAAATAAGGGAAACTTGCAATAATACCCCTTTATCTGTCAGATTTGTACTGCGCCACTTTGGACTCATCCCCAAGGACCGCATCAAGTTCACCACCTACATTTTTTATCTCCTGTGCCCGATTACAGCCTCAATTACTCCAAAAGACCGAAGCTGATCTAGCCATCTTTTCTTTTGAATCCATTCCAATCCTAGCCATGTCATTGGCGTTGTTTGCCGGTTTCGAAAGACCGGGGTCCGAATTTCGGACATATCTATCCCTTCCCATGACTGAATCGGGACAAGCCATCACCACATACTTTACACCCTCAAACGTATATTCACAATTGCATCTTCGATTTTGTCCTCCTAGTATAGTTCATCGTTGTGAGTAAGTTTTGAGCCCATCATGTGGATTCCTGTAGCCATGTATCGAAATCCGACCGCTGCTTTTTCTGGTTCGTCTCTTAATCTGACCATTCATTGTGCATGGCGTTCTTCCCGCCTACTTCCTGTCCTCTATTTGACTTAATATTTCCGAAGAGTAGGGCCCATTTTGCCGAATCATCTCTTCGATTCCGAGTAAGCTTACCCGCTATCTCTTCGGTAATAGGTATGATTTTTCCGAATGCAGATAATTTTATCTATTCAACAAGTGAACCGTTGGACAGTCTGGAATATAAACCTTCTTTTGCTTTAGATAAACCCAAGTAGGTAAGGCAAAGGTTTTATATTCTGGCATTCAACTGCTGATTGAGTGATTTACACTGGTGATAAAATTGAAGATTTCTGGTGGATGCTTCTGAGTGGCCAAAGTACCCTTGTGGGATGTTAGAATTTTACCCACTCCTTTCTCTCTCACTCGAGAATCGCAAAAAAATTTATGAGAGCATAAAGAGAACATCATAACGGCTAATTATATGGTACAGAATCTCGGGTCTGGCTGTATCCAAGTATTAAAAAGATGCGCGGGGAAATGGGTCACTTAGAGGACCTTTCGTAAATATAACCTCTGGGGTGTGAGAATTTACGAATAACTAGCTTTTTACAAATGACGTTCAGAAGAACGAAGATAAGCATGAGAAGTGCACGTGGGACTTGTTTTCTATTTCTATTATTGATATGAATCTTTTTTGATTTCCTTGAATTTCTGCAGTACCTTTTAGTCCCAGAAATGAATCATATGAGCGTGCCGCGATAGAGACAATGATAGGTATCGGATTAAACTACTTACCTTACAGTCTAGTAAGGTCAAGTTACATCATAATCTATGGGTAGAAGCAGCATTGGTATCTATATTCATAGTCGAGGAACAGTAGATATGATATCTAGACTTACCTACCGAATTTGAGAGTGGATAGTTGCCCGTCAAGGGTAGGGCCTACCTAATTTTACTCGTCGGCCACAATGATGTGGTAAAAATAACTGATTCATATTAGTTTATACTGAGTTGGTGTCATAAGGAAATGGTTGAACCGTCCTTTGAAACTATTGATGGTAACATGAATTAGGATGATAATTATACGTGTGAGTGTTTATTGTACTCCTTGACTCTATGACTATCTAGCGCATTGAACTCCTTTCTGACCCAAACCACAACTTATTCAGTACTCCTCGCCTTTTCTGTTGCTTGAAAGATCATTGATATACTGCCCGTGACGAATAGCAATTCAGCTCAGTGTTTACCCATGGAATTCAGCCATCTTTTCTACGGGACCTTCTACCCAAAAAAACTAAAAATGGTAGCTATGGAAACTGCGTGCGCGGGAAAAAGTCTCAAAAAACCTGCAGGCCCAGCCAGGCGAGGCCTAGATACCGGGACCACATGAGGTGCACATATCCATCTATATCTCCCTTCTTCGTAACAGTCGAGGCCGATTTGATCGATTCCGCCATCTCCGTATCGGGTGCCGGGTACGCTCCAGAAACTCATCGGATGGCTTTTCCTCCATGATCAAGGGTTGGTGATGAGTAGGGCTCCGACCCTACCATCTGATCTGATCGTGATTAGCTTCATGATAACGGTGATCGGGGTGTGTGTCGAGAGATGAAGACGAAATAGACTAAGGAAGCGGTTGGGAAACCTCGTCCAAGTGAGGACTTTGTTACTCAATCTCGGCTCTGCAGTCTCTACAGTGAGAGCTGGAGGTTCGTAGGGGACACCACCGACAGGTATTGAGAATAGTCTCCCTCCTGTCGTGTAAACTGTAGACATAATGTATGAAAGGGCATGAAGAGCAACTCCATCGTAATTATACAAGATCTCATGAAATTTGACAAGACAGATTTATACACAAGGCCTTGAAGCTCATGTTTGAGTTTCAAGGTACTGCAATATCACCATTCTGTAGAAATAATTTGATTATATTTTTATTGAAGTTATTTCTGAGTCTGAGACTACTAAATAATGACAGCTGTCTGATTTGCTGTTTTTTGTAATGAAGTTTTCGGTTCACTATATTCATGCAGGTTTTGGGAGCCTTGCTGTAGGTAAATTATTAAGATTTAGTCTGTAAATAAAAAAACTGTATTTGGAAAATTTCATACCGAAATCTATCGTCTGCTTTACAAATAAGGGCTGAAAGCTCAGGCAATAGATTAGGATGATTGCTAGCTTGTCTGTTCATGTTCGGATTAGGTCCTGGTCAACGATGTCTAGCCTAATTGTGCTATGTTGCAGGCTACTGTTCCAATTATTCATGGGGTCGTCATCAGGGTTGTGAGTAGTTTCGGTTTTGGTGTCGGTTGTTAGATTGATACCTGAGCGTGTTGCATAGTAGTCAGACATGCGACTCGAGTAGCATATGCACGGTAAACCTCAACCCCAAACTGATGATACGAATCAGGTTTTACATGCTACTTCCTGTATGGCTAGCGTGGTTGGAATATGGGAAATTTTCCTATAGATAGATTAAGACGTTGTAGCCCTCTGATAGTTGGGACAAGTCTTCTACAATATTATATCGGAATCAATACTAGCCTCTCATTAAGCAATCTCATGAATTATTTCCAATGTCTGTGATAACAGACATCCACACACAAAGTCGACAACACCTTTAAAGTCGATAAGCTCATGTTGTAGAACATTGGCAATGGAACCTCTCAAGATCTACATAGATATCAGGGAAGTAAGTCTCAAGGATGGGAATATTCGCCAAAAAATAGCGAGATAGTTTTCCCTTATCTCAAAACTGAAAATCAGCTTGGTGTCGCACAGAAGATTTTGCCTCGATGTGTGTTTTGAGATAATTTTCTGTCTGATTTGTGATCTTTTTTCCATCTTAGTTTCAGGTTCTCTGTGTACCCATTTCGATTGCTCTTGAGCTAAATGTTCTTGTTATTTTTATCTATTGGGGATGCGAGTCATTGTAAGTTTCTAGGAGGTCCACAATTATTGCAGGGTACCATTTCTGAGGAGTTGGCTAAGCAAATTATCGGTAACCGCCGTTTATCTAGATAATTTATGAGGGCGGGTGACTTGTTAAAATTTCATTGGAGCTCTGAACTTTCATAATCCTCTCTAAAATTAAAGTTTCCCTTACCTTACGAGAGAGTAAACCATGCATGTAGTCGTACATCTATGCTTCTTCTTCGCGAATTTTTGAGCCATCGATCCCCTCCATAAGTAGGAAGTAGATTGCAATGTAGAAATAGCCGGGTTGAAGTTAGAGTTTAGCGGCAGGATTGGAGTTGAAGGCGATGCGCAATTTCACATGTAAAGTCTCCTATAGCTATGGATCCAATTTCCCTTATTTCTTGATAAGTAAATAAACACTATCTACTCTTAGTGGCGTCAATTTTTTGTAGGGTCCTTCGATAGCCATAAGTAGGCCACCAAAGCTTATATATGCTTTTCTAAAGATACGTTAGTTGAGTTTCTATTTGTAGCCAGTAGATTCAATTATTATTCATAGTTATTTATGGGTATTCATGGTTCTGGTGTGGTCTTGAAATTTTCATCACTTTCGATATTTTGAAGTTGACTTACATTGTTATTCCGTCCTCTCCATCTTCAAATTTGTGAATCTTGCCGTGACAGACGTAATCGAATAGATCCGCCAAAGTTGGCTCTCCACCGAGCCCATTGCGCGCTACATCACGCCAGCCTCGACCATCATCTTTGGTGCCATCGAGTGATAGATTAGAAGCTAGCACGAGATGCATGCTCTCACCGATTCCAACGTTGAAAAGTTCAATGTTTATATCGAGCGTCATTACTGTTTGCGCATCTATTGAGGTACCACCAATACGAGCCACACGATCATATTTTGAGTGGTCAATTGAAGTGACGGTAAAAGTCTCGTCAAAAAGTTGTGTCTCAGTTGATGAGGTCATACTGGGCTTGAAATTATATTGTGTGAAAAGAAGAGATTAGAAGTAGAATAATTTTCCGGCCAGCAAGAGTTTGACGGAGGATAAATCAGTCGGGAGGTAAGAAAATGTTTGCTGGTTCTCTTTAAACACATTTCTATGTTTGAAACTACAGTGGCCGGTAGGACCACCCATGCCAAACACCTTTCAACGTGCCCCCACATGCTATAAGCCTACAACATTTTACTCCCAACATGTCTTGGTCTATTGCTTTAGTGAAGGCAGTTCAAGCTTTTAATAGCTGGCTGTATTTCACAAATTTCTTCCGTAGAGCACAAGTATGTGTATGATTGAATCGGAATCAAGTATCAAGAACTCATAGGGCCTTAGATTAATTCAACTAATTCTTTCTGATATATTTTCTTTTAATGTAATCTGTAAAGCTTGAGATTGACGAGTGGTAGAAATTCGTGTAATCTTGGATCTTAGGCCCTAGGATGATAAAATAATGAAGGGCAAGTACCGAACAAGTGTCAGCGGTGTTCACTACGAACCTGGGGATGAAATGTTCTCCTGGAGCCAGATTTAGTCATTTTTTGCGAGACCAAAGACGTTGACTCACGAGGCAATGGCTCAAGACACTCAATCATGTCAATCTCTCACACCCAACGAGATCAGTTCCCACCAAAAAATCATCGGGTTTTCGAGCATCACTTAGTACACCCTCATTTCAATGATCACTCCTCTTGGCGACTTTCTCTGCTCTCAGCTGGTCACGAAATACACGCCCACGCCAATATTAATAGCCGCCGGGGGAGACAAATCTAGGTCACAGATTTGATGGACGGATGTGAGAGGAATCCGGGCGAGTGAACCAGATGATGCAAACGTTTGAAAAATCTCGATAGAAGTGAGATTTTTAAATGTTTGGCAAGGAGTCTCACAAATTGAAGAGCATTTTGCGCCTCAAGCCTTCAAATGCAGGCAACACCATGGCCACAGCCATGATCGGATGATCGACTGATTGTGCAAGCAAACTGTAGTAATAGTCGCACAGGTAATAATCTCATGTAGGCGGCGAATAGAGGCAAAATACTGGCTAGTGTCTTGGCATAGACACTACTGAATAGCGATGTAATCCGAACCTAGAGAGTTAATAGAAGCACACTTACTGAACCCACATCCGCTTATCAAAGTGAATTACCCCTGTGATACCTACACAAACATACCCCATTGTAGTATTTACAGATGAACTCCAGATTGATAGTGCATCTAGTGTTAAATGGGTCATCCTTTATGTAAACATGGCACCGGTCATTTGTCATAGCCAGAAAGTTAAATACACATTAGCTAATTTAAGAAACTGAATGCCAAAAAGCTGCAGAGTACCTCTCCCCAACGGCTCATTCGTAGTTTGGGGATAAGAGATTACAGGGTGGATCACACGATATATCGAATTATTTCTAAGGAATTAGACTGCGTCGATGAACTTTGGCTTCATCAAAAAAGTTCAATCTCTAGGCAGCACAGTAATACTGCAGGGCTCTTTGCTTCTCCAATTCTTACCTGTTCTTTGTAGACTCGCCTCGCTCCGAACACAAATCACTATCTTCTATAGCACTCGGATCGAAAAATAACACAAACACACTAATATGGCTAGACTCTACACAAAGAATAATCGAACATTTCAAGAGCTACATGTGATGTATGAAAGTGGGTTGATGGACATGGGATTAGATTTTCACCACCAAAATACCGGCCAATGTACTTTTCTAGATTTAAAAAATAAAAACAATGTACATGTGGCAAGCCGAATCCAAGGCCATATTGCTAAACCTCAAGCTTCTATCCTCAGCCTGTGGAATAATCCCGACCTAAATCTCAACTAGGATGCTCATGTAAAGAGCGTATAGTTCAAAGTGTAACGATAGATATAAGCTTTAGGTAGATTGTCATATCCAACATGGGGAGCAAAATGCCGCAAATTAAAGCTAGTGCATAATGACAGATTGGGACTGTCGCACATGTTGAGGTGGTTCGAAAGCTTGGGTGATTAAGAATGGTGTTTGTCTGGAAGAAAAGGCTCGTACATGAGCCTTTACTTGAAGTGTGTTTAAAACAATATAATTATCTCTCCTACCTTCCTCCTGGGTTGACGAATATAATTTACATGAATCACTAGACGATGAGTAAGAAATATAGTTTTCATGGAGTTTTCTTCTTGTATGATGGGGAACAACGCTCAGGTATAGGTGTGCGATCAGGGCTGGGACCAGACTTGCGGGAAAAATACCAAAGAGGATGGTTAAAAGCCTAGGAATTATTGAAAGAAGACGCCTCGATATTGTAAAGAAAGCCTAAAATTTCACCAGTAGTAGGGCTCATGAGCAAAAGTCCTCAACCTACCAATAGGTATTTACCAAAAGCAAAGTAGGATCCAACGCGTTGGTCTATCGAAAAATCTATCGGCTTAAGAAAGAATAGTTTCGATATGCAGTAATTTTAAGCTACTCAGGCTTGGAAGAAAAGACACTTACGCCTTAATTTGGACAAAGACATAGCCGAGTGGGGATATATTTACGGCAAGATTGACACCAAGGAACGACAGAAAGAGGCTTGGAGGGTTGTAATTATCAAAAAATGCGTCAAACCTTGAACGGGACAAAAAGCGAAGTATTCTAGACACCTAGCGACTGCAGATCACAAAAATATGGATGGCAGATTATATTTTAATCGACGGGAGATGGGACTTACAAGAATGAACAACAGAAAGACAACCATGAGGTTTCTTGTGCACGTTAGTAAGAATGAAATGATATGTGATTGAATATTTATCCATGACGGGCACAAACCTAGCACTCACACAGCATGATACGGAGAAGACTAGCTTCTCCGACGACTATATACCACGATAATCCAGGTTGACATTTGAACCAGCTATTTAGTGGGTGCATTCGCTGAAACCACTCGGGATCTTGTTGCTAGGAACTTTCACCCTTCCCTCAACCATGGATTTCCACCAAAAGGTAAACAGGAAAAACCTTTGGCTACCCTAACAAGCCTTTGTCATCCTGTCTATAATCGCTGCGCGAGATATGGCCTCACAGTCCTCCCTTTCTCGAGTGGGGTAGGTGTCCAGGCTACCCAGACTTTAATTCGGGGAGATGAGGAGCAGGAAGCGGACCAAACCGGCTTCTATCGTTGCCTGTTTTTAGAGTGTCGGTTGCACTATCCGAAATCGTTGCCTCGGCGCCCACGAACACCCGTAAGTCGAAAACACTCGAAACATGTGCGTCCCAGCATGCACGTTTGTGACCTCTTCACTTGTTCGTCCCATGTCCCAGCTGCCTATCCTCCCTCAAGATGTGTAGCGCCATTAGAGCAACGGTCTCCCATGGACCAAGACCCGAGCTTTGTATATCATGACTCAATCTTCTCCTTGCGGCAATACATAGCGTCGTAAATTTATAGTGGGTGATGGCCGGTAATGAATGAGGCAAGCTCCTGTTTGCAATTGGAGCACCTTCTTTATTGGTCGTCGAGGCGAGATGATATGTGGCTAGATCGGGGTCGAGGACTCAGAAGATAATGGTGAGTGCTGCATGGTTGAGAAATCGTCAAATGGAGATATTCACGTGTCTGCTTTCCACTTCGATTTGGATGCGATTCTTCTTGGCTATCCCAGATATGCAGAGCATACTGAGCGATTACACCGGCACCACTGGGAGGTGAAGAGTTCGTCTTTGCCGGCGTTCATGCAGGTATATCTAGCTATAAAACTTACATAAGAGGAAACCAACTCGGCCAAAAACCCCCAAAACTGTCTGTCTCGTATCTATTTGTTTTGTGAGGTGTCCTACAGGAAGTGCGTTTACACTGTACGTCCAGTGTTAATACCGTCCTATCCTTCTCCCCATCGCTCTATCCTTTCACTGACTGCTGTCTCAACTTCTTCTGCAAGCCAGAACTATTCAAGCCAGCCGTTACTAATTATCCACTCTATAATTCCCTTTATGTCATCTGGGCTGCTCATTATAGCTTTAAAAGACCTATCCTCAGCCTATTGCAACACCTCTCCTCTTCCCTTAGCCCAATGAGGACAAGCCATGACCATATATTTCACGTTTTGTGACGAATATCCACACGGGCAATTTGAATTTGCCACTCCAGGGACCTTTCTTCTATAAAGATAAGAGTTGAGGCCGACATGCTCACTTCTCATCTATATTGGAATACTACTTTGGGCCCTGCTCAGGTTTCGGTGGATGTTAGAGGGTGTGTTTCTGTAGATGATTCTTTTTCTGCCTGTTCTCTTGTCGGTGATAATACTTGCTACTTTCCAATGTTCTGGGCCTACCGACGCCTGATGAGAAGACAATCGCTCTTTCTTCAAAAGTATCCATGCGATTTCCCACTTCTGGAATGCTGCTATCTTACATGCTTCTTTTTGTCTGCGCCTCACCTTTTCGTTGCTACATGTTTTGATCCACTCGTTAATATCTTGGCTTCGATTCTTGGTGTGACTATTTCTGCTCAGGCTACACGTCTGCTACATTTTACTATGTGTGGATAGAATTGTCTGCTTGATAGGCTGACCTTCCGAAAGTCTGTTGTGTTCAATCCTCCTAAGCAAGCATACATAATACTTGTCTAGGGATAGTATCTCTCCCACTGAGGTAAACTAAGCTAGTCAGGCCATATGACCTCCCTAGCAGTACACAGGTTTTATCCGTAGCAATCGGACTCTCTAGTCAACATTTGCAACATAGTACCGTGTCCAACGTGTCTTTTTTAAGAGTACTGATATCTACAAATAAACCACATAGTACGAATATTTCTGACACTAAAAGAATTGTTTAGCATATCTGAGCCACTGGTTATGTGTCGTAGGTAGATATTTTAATACATATTAAAAAGTTCAACGTTAGTTTACTATATACTGAACAACTAGACAGACCACTCAGAGTTTACTAGAAAACACAATAAAGTAGCTCTATAGCACGCCAAGTGGCACTTTCAGGTAATCTACTTAAACAAATTGGGACTGGATCCTTATTGAGAAAGCTATCACTCTATACGCCCAAATTCTTTAGGTCCTTAGATGATGTTTAACCTAAAGATAAATTGGATTTCCCGAATTATCTGATTGATTTCCACGGAGGAAGCCACAGTACCTTTCTGGAGGCTTTGGAAGCCGGATCATTGGCCTAAAAAAGAATTTCTAACCAATAATTTCTATCGGAACTAAGATGGCTGAGGTTTTTTCATGTAACTTACGGTGAGTAGCATGATACCTCCTTGGTGGATAATTTCTGCTCTTAAAATTTGATTATCATCACCTTCAAGGCACTAAGTGATACAGATAGTACGACTAATGTTACCTCAACTAACCTAGCTTGAGCCTATAGTTTCACTTAACCTTACTTTTGGAGAAAAATGAGGTCATAGGAATGCGTTGAGAAGAGATGTTCCAAGAATGTTCACAGCTCTTGTAAAATGGTATTATTAATGCATCTTGACTTATTTCGGTAAATCTTATAAAGTTAATTCGAGTTCAATGAGTTAGGAAAGAGATTCTGCTACAAATTCATCGTTTTTCTGTCTTGAATATTATAGAATAGAGTAATTTTAACTTATCCAGACGCCATTTGTTGATGTTGAATAGATTCTATCTCATTTTTGAAATCCTACTAAGCTGAAATTCTATTTTGGCCGAGAAAGGCTTTGAGTAAATTTGAACGACGATGATTTCTTTCAACCGTTTATATTCTGTATGAGTCTAGGATTATTTTAGGATGTGTAATTCTTTGCAAATACAATTTTCGATACTATTCTTTGAAGATTTGTACTATTCGTGCCTGTAAATTCCAAAAAGACTGTAAGCGCGTCATGTCTCCGAGAACATCAATGATAACTAGCCCTAAAAGTTTGATATGGATAATGAGTCATAGTTTCATCTTGATAATTCTTGCCTATATACCGAGTTCTGGTCTCTGATGGTAGAGTTCTGCATACAAATAGTCACAATTACTTGGGAATTTGCGGTCCGAGATTGACATCCAAATATTCCATTTCTGCAAGAATTGCCATTAATACTGACTTATCCGAATCTTTGTTTTGCCAGTGCCTTTAACATTGCCATCGTGCTCTCTTCCTTCGCCCTGTATTGCTGCAAGCGTTCCTCTCGCTCAGCCATTCGAGCCCGTAAATTTTCTTCTTTTCTGAGCTCTCGCTCATTCTTCTTTCTCTCGAATTCCTGCTTTTCTTTCTTGAAGGACTCGACCCCGTCTACACACCCCATTAACTCAGCTTCTGGAACCTCGACCGCACCAGGTGACCTTTCACGGAACGATTTAAGCTTTTCGTTTAGATCTTTTTTCTTCTCCAACTGCCGCTCTCGTGTGCCAGGTGGGGCGCGAGGAACGAGCTCGTCCAGGTCGGCCTTTCTCTCACGCTGGGTGAGCTTACGGTTTAATCTATGCTCATCACGACGCGCAGATGCGTCTGTAAGATTCATTTCTATCGGGAAAGTTAGCGGGCAAGGTACAATTTGATTCCAGAAAGAGGCTCTACCTCTCTGATATTCCAGGTCAGATTGTCGTGGGATGCTGGGTCCAGACCGCCGTCCACACTTCCGTGATTCATGATCTGGAAGCCTTGGACCTATAGAGGAGTCACTATCGGAATCATCATTGTGTTTGCGCGCTGATTTCGCCTTTACACAGCTGACATGTCCGTCATTATTTCGCGATACATCGTTCTGTTCTGAAGGCTCTTGGGTGGCTAGAGTCGAAGAAGCCTCACACGCCCTTTGCTGCGTTGCGGGATCATACCAGCCCTCAGATAATTCACCGCGATTCCTTCCCACCTAGTGAGCACTTGTTTTCTAGTCTTCGATCTGGGACCAACTACCATTTTCCCAAGAAACTTTTCCATCGCCCTTTAACCTCTATCTGGTCCAGAGTTTCCAGAGCTATACCCTTTTGAATATCCAGGTATAGCGCAAAAATCGGCTTGAAGTCTCGATAATCTCGCCTGCTTAACTCGCGCGCATTAAATGGACGAGTAAGTACATCTGTCGTGGACGACCCTACGATTTGCTTGGGCTTGGAGCTTAAAGTTCGAGGTGACCGGTCCTGCCGGTGATAGGTATGTGTCCGACAGGGCGAATGAGACCGATTATTACGATTCCTTCTCCCATCATCTCCCATTGTTAAAATGAAATCTCAACGAATTTTAAATTCTGCAGTTCTGTGCCTCTAGTTTTCTTGTACCCGAGAGATTTCTGGTTGTCAAGATATGTGTCTGTTGTGTGATTTGGGAAAACGTAAGACCCGTTCCAAACTTAGTTGAGCTTCGCAGACGCTGGCCACGCGATCAACATTTATCTTTTTTAAAAAATTTGGCTTTCCTCGTTCCAAGACTTCACCAGGCGTGTAGTTCCTTACTGCTTGCAGGGCATGAACACCTATGTCTTGCGAAGTAAATACTATCCCTCATTCTCATTCCCCCCCCTCTATTATTACCTCTGCGCACGAGCCTTCATTTGATCACTCACAACGTAGAGTCATCTACCCCATGAGTGCACCCCTTACCAACCAACAAGATATAGACCATTTGCAGAATCGTGACAGCCAAAATATTTCAAACTGTGTTGGTCGTGTCTTCGACTTGAAAAGGAGAATTGACTAAAGTAAATGGACACCGTACATTGAGAACTTAGTGAAATTAGAACTCAGTCAAGCTAACTTTTACGGGGTTTGGGCCCGCCAAGTGACCCTTTTTAAAAAACATTACTGTTAAATTTATTCGAGATTTTCAATTATCATGAGAGAGTCAGAGAGAGCAATGAGTGACCATATAGGCATTTTCTGGAAATGTATATTCTCTATGTAAAATGACTTATTTTGAAGGGTGCAAGTGACAATGTAAACACCGTCATGGTTGGATGAAGCGGTGGTACATACAGTAGGTTGGCCTCCCAAGTAGAATCTGGATAACTTTAACACATGTCCTACTTGGGGATGGAGATCGCTGGCTCAAGTTTAGCAAGATATTAGTGTACTTGTCATGGTGCTTGTGATTATGAATGATGAAGGCATGCTTGGTCGATGAAGAGTTTTTATTTGTTCTTTTGATGGGTACCTACGGAGGAAGTTCGGCCGTCTATGTAGGCAAAAATGTCTCAGTGGTATTTACAAATGAAATACAGAATATAAACGTCTGCAACGATAAATGAGTCGACCCACGTAAACAGTGTTACGGTTTGTGTGTCAAATGTCTTGTTTTTCGTTGTTTTTAATATTAGTTCCCAGGTTATACCCGCTATCTACCAAGGTTCAAAGACCGGTGTTCAAAGCTAGTATCACATCTATGACACACCCAGCATGTTCCAACCACGCGAACCGCTAAACAAATAGTAGCTAGTGTCACAGGTCAAGTATTGATGCTAGAGCAATCAGACGTATGAAGGTAGCATGTTTTTTTCTGTGACCATCTGTGGGAATCCTACTTAAACTATTTATACACTCCCTATATTATCTAGAAAATTATTCTCACCTGATGCTAGTTTCTAGTATTTCCCCCTGAGTCTGGTTCGCAGTCTTGCTATCAGATACCAGAAATTTCTACTCACGTCCAGATTAATCTAATAAAGTTGTGAGGTTCGTAGAATCGTAAAGCACGGGTACAGTATAATTATCGGCTCACTAGCCTTTACAGCTATTTGAAACCAAAAACCAACACAGATCGCAAAAAGAATAGAAAAACAGAAGATTCTATCCAGTAGGACTGTAAGGGTTTAATGAATTCAGATGTACTTGAAAGATAATAACTCTATAGGAATTAATAACTTGTTCCTTGGGAAGACTATCTCCCACGTACTATCCCATACGTTATATGCTCTATGTAGACTAGTCTTAACTCCCTCCATTGGCCCCTGAGAACCATCCTTTCTCCCGGCACAACTCTTCTCCTGTATCATACACCCCATCTGGTGCGTACCCCCTAAGCGCCCTTTTCGTCTATCCAGGAGCGTTGCCCTGCCACTACCTTACCTAGGAGACGGAGTCATCCTAATGACCAGTCCCAAACCGGGCAAAGCCCGTCACAAGGACCCAGCCAATGTTTTCCTTACGCATTCTCTAGCCCGTCACATCTGCCAAATGACAAAATCCTTCATTCTTCGCTGAGAGCTGAAGAAGAGTCGATGGGGTTTCTTCCCCAATTGTCGATCCCTCTTCAAATTTTGTTCAAGTCATGACTGAATTCTTCCAGGTGCTTCTAGCACTTCACACTCGTACCTAGGGTTCCAACGACATCATCGTATCCTTCGGGGCAGGTTTACTTCCTGCATTATGGTTATGAGGTTCTGTATGACGTCTTGGAGTCTGAACCTTGATAATATGTGGGAAAAAAGAGGTAGGAAGATGTGAAGATCAAATCTACGTATAATCTATATGGAAGAGACGTTATTTTATATCCATGCCTACAAGAGAAGTGTTCATAATACCATGCACGTGCGCTTCGGCTAATCCTTCACTGTGCCTTGCTAGCCACACTCAACTTAGTTCATGTGACACCTCATAACCCATACACACCCATAGGTATTGTGTATTACAACATTCGTATTTTCATGTAATTTAGAATATCGGGAAGATATTCTTCCCACTATAACTGAGTCTCATCTCCTCTAGGAGGCATAAATTTCCGTAGACAGCGTGACGTATTAAGTCATCTGACACTGTTTTTTTCATCTTGGGCCCCTTCTTCTTTGTTTGGGGAAGCTGGGTGCCCCCGGCTCTAGAGTAGTAAGCTCTGGCGTCCTTTTCCAATCCGGGACTAGTATATTATAATCATTAGCTAGACGTTAAATACTAAACAAACAAACTGTTAAATTATAAGAAGGGTTGGTCAAACATATTCATCCCTACAATTTAACATAATGGAGTTAGGATTATGGTTATTGGTTGCCTAGGAGTTAAAAAGGGTAAGGCGTCTGTTGATTTTATATACCCTGTATTAGTAGTTTCACATTAGCGTGTGGATGAGACTAGGAGCGATACATTAGAGGGTGCGAGGTCGCGATACTTCCATTAAGCGCGTAGACGTAGAGACGAAGATACACGCAACGATTTAACCCTATACTTTATCAAATCTACTTCCAAATATTCCAGTAACAGTACTACTGTATTACCCGTCCAGAGGAATCATATTCTATAACAAACAAACAAACAAACATTCGTATTTTCATGGCCTATGCCACTGCATATCAATCTTGTATTACTTAGCAGTCAACATTCCCCTCAGGGATGGGGCCTTAGTTGTAACTAGTGCCTAGTAGACATAATGATAAATAAGTATCACAACATCCTGCCTCAGCATGTTGAATGAAACCCAATTACTCCTTAGTTATCGGGCCAAATCGGATCGGTCGAGTCGAGCAGTCTCAGTTATCCGAATGGTGAGGACCACTACAGTTGTGGCACTTGGTCATAGCTCTGCACTCCGCGGCGGTGTGCATTGATGGGCCGTAGTTCCAGCAAGATGCAGTGCAAGAGCAACCACGAGTGGCATGGTGGCCAAGGCAACGTCGACACTGTTCGATTTGGCGACGAGGCTGAAGTATTTTGGCCATTCAAGACTCGTCGAAAAGGCGGAAGCTTGCTCTTGAAACGGCTCTTCTAGGGTCACTCTAGAAATCTCATCCGAGATCCACTCGGCTTCGATCGTTTCAGCGCCTTCCAGTATCTGGGCCTTCGCTGACACATTGGATATCCTGGAGGCCACAAGGTTCGAAGATGGCTCGATTTTGGCGTTGACTCTTGCCAATTTCGATGAGGCTTCTAAGAGGCCTTGTCGATGTTAGCCGTTTTTTACCACAATGGAAAACCCTGACTTAACTCGGGGTATCGAGCTACTAGTAATAGAAACGCATATGTTATGTTCCAATAACGCGAATAAGATATCCGCGGGTGACAATATCCGCTACGGGTGGTTGCTGTCAAGTCGTAGGAATAGTCGTTTGTCCACTTTTGCCTTGACAGCCTCTTTCTTTTGAGCTGTTTTCGCAGGTTGCGGCACAGCTTCACTATCGGGGCTGCTTTTTGTCGCAGTCCATTTTGCGCCACTGTAGCCCAGGTGCCTGTTGTAGCCTTGGCTAGGACAGCGAGGGAGTTTTGGCAATTGACGTCAGGAACTCTCGGAGGAGAGTTTGACGTGCGAAGTGGCCGTACCTATAGGCACAAATTGCATGATGGCGGCATGTATCGGTCGAAACTTAGGCGGAAATCCTACTTCTAGAGTAGCGTTCTCCGACAATTTTGACTCAGTTGGAGAAGATTTGGAAGGCCCTTCTATCCTGTAGGAAGTGGAAGTGGTTGAAAAAATTCCTCAATAATTTCGACCGACCAGATTATGCCAGTATCGGGCGCAGAGACGATGGTGTGGGCTTTTTCTAGTTTTGAAGTAGCCATCTATCATCTCAAGCGTAACACGTACCGTAACTATCCGACGGGATACAGGGCATGAGGTAAAGAGCTTATCGACAACCATGAGCTAACCACTAAACAATGAGTCTTTATTACTTGACCAGAGATCACTATTGTTAGGTAAACTCTCGAGCCAGCATTACCATTCAGCAGCGGCAAGTATCAGAATATGTTGGTAAAACACGAAGTAATACAAATTGGGTGCCGTCACGAAGTCAGTTGTCCGTCATGAAGTCAGTGAATAATGTCAATTGACTAATATTTCGAAATACCTAAAAGGTTGTCTCCCCTATCTTCCTCTACTCCAAGCGCCTCGCTATTGAGCTGAGTCAGATCCCTGTCAGTGTTCTAACGACAACCTGAATACCGCAATTAGATAGAGCAATTCATACTGCCCAAATATGATCCTTTTACTGACAGAATGGCTTCTCGAAACACCTGGTTTCAGATGATTATCGTATGAATGGCCAGTTGAAAAGTTCACAAGCCCTCGTTACCATTCAGAGTTGATAAATCTTGGTACAAGAATTGTGTCACGTTTTGTAGTCAAGGCTGACGTTGAAAAATGTCCCTTGGACGATGGAATGCTTTGGAGGGTGTTCTTAGAGTATTAACATAATATAATAGAGGGCAAGACTGAACACCTGTACGCGGTGTTCTCTACGAACCTGAGAGTGAAATATTCTCCCAGAGCCAAGTTCAGTCAAATTTCGCAATATCAAAGAAGTTGGCCCACGAGGCAAAAATTCGAATTAATCCACCATGTCGATCTTTCACTCCCAAAGAGTCCGATTCTCAACTAAGCTTCATCAAGTCTACAAGTACGACATAGTACATCCTCGTTTCAATGACCACACCTCTCGTCGACTTTCTCTGGCCTCAGCTGGTCACCAAATACACGCCCACGCCGATATTTATACCCGACGGAGGAAGCAAAGCGTGGAGCACAAATCTGAGAGATAGCTCTATGGGATGGACGTGAGAGGGATCAGGAAAAGTTTACAAGATGATGCAGAAGAGGGATACGTTTTCGACAGGCGTGAAATTTCGAATTTTGGCATGGAGCTTTACGGATTGAGCTTTGTGCGCGCCAAGACTTCGCTTGCGAGAGTGCAGCTAACACTATAAAAACAAGCCAACGATAGAAGGTGTTATGGTCCGCCTCCTGGTGGTGTTCTCTGGTATAGTCTTAGTAGCCTGGGCACCTACTCCACTTGGGAAGGAGACGCCTCAGACCATATTTCGTGCGGAGAAAAGTTGAAAGATGATGGAGGCATGTTTGGATAACTCAGGGTTTTTGAGATGTTCCCCTGGGTGGGTATTCACGGATGAGGGTTGACTTGGGGGGAAGAAAAAGGCGCCATAACTTTGCAGTGGTACTTGCAAATGAAATCCGAGGCATGAGTGCTCTTCCCTCACGTTGAATCATCTATTCTGTACTTTTCTTTGATATTGTGTCATAGCTAGATAGCTGCATACGCAATTAAAATCTGATGCAAAAAAAAATAATAATATAATTTATTTTCTTAAATTATCGCACAGAAAACTGAAAGTAGTCGTCGCAATGATCTACAGAATCAACGTTTTCGCAAGCACCAAGATCAACTATTAGGGGTTCGATGCTTTAGGGTTTTAAGAGAAGCTAGGAGGCTAGTTTGAGCTTATCAAGTCACATTCTTCTAGGCCTATAATGTAGGCGCCACGCCAACAGCAGAAAGATTCTCCAAATATATCTGATCTGATCCGTTATATTTCTATTAGTACAAAGCCTACCTATTATCTGAAAGCTTTTTAGTACCTGAAATCCTGGAACAGGAGGTAGACTGCAACGTCGGTATCTAATATGAGTCACAAACAAACTCTTAAGATTCCGATAGGAAAGAATTACTCTGAAGGATATCACCACCCATCAAGGGGTTGCCGCGCCATCTCTAATGCAGAATAATGTATTAATACGTAAATTCTTCGGTTATCCCTATAGTCGAACACAATTTCTGGGTCAAGTGAGGTGCAAGTGTTTGATCGTGAGCCATTGTCTACGAATTCTCCTACAATATCACCTGCCACCTGAACTAAATTCACCTCCACGTCGCTCCTGATCTACTCGAGAATCAAACTCTTGCTGAGCTTCTTCTCTAGATAACTCTGATGTTTTTTCAGCACCAGAATACGGAAAATTATCATTGAAAAAGTTGTCTTCTCTAGTACGCCTCTTCTTATATTGAGGTTTCTTACGTGCAGAATGGGACGACTCTGACCTTTCAATCCGCTCACCGCTCCTGATCTTATCCCAGGTTGACATCTGTGAGTTTGGCATAGTGTTCGACGAGCTTGTATCTTGACCATCAGCAGGTGACATATTATCAAGAAAAGCGTCCAGTGAATACGGTTCTGTGTCTTTGGGCGAGGTCTGTACTTTATCTATCGTGGTCCGAGACGTTGACGGAAACCTAGTTTGTGGGGACATGCCCGAAATGCTCTCTGACTGAGATTCTCCTTCTGGGTTATCTCTATAGAACGTACTTTCTATAACACTTGACAAGCTCGTATCTTTGTCTTGTGAAGCAGCTGATCCTGTGTTTGCGCTATAGACAGGCAGCTTTGATACAGAGCTTCGCTGACTACCTTCACTTATTTTTGTCTTAATAAACGTAATATAGTTTTTTAGGCGTGGATCATTAGCAGCACCCACCGAGGCTGTAGATATAGCGTAGCTACCAAAGAAAAGTCGACTCATGAGCTCTCCCGACATTCCATATGAAAGATATCGAAGTGTATGCCAGCATATTGTTGCATAAAGCCCACATAATGGCCCAAAACGATTCATATTCCAGAATTTTAAGTCAGGTTGCCATAGGGGAAAGCGGAACGTATTCATGGTATTGTATGCCCTCCATATACCGCCAGCAATTCCAATTGGTGTTCCCCAGGAGGTTATTGCCTGGCGCTTAGCTAGCCAAAAGGCAATAGCGTTAACTTCGTCTTGATTTAGTCGTCGCCCCATATCCCTTGTTGCTACCAACATCTTGTGATGGGCCTCTCGTTTAAATTTTGCTTCGTATCCAAGGATTCCGCCAAGAATTGGGATAGGTTTCGGGAAGCCCGTCATATCTATATGGTATTGTACAGAGCTATTGCTTGATGAAGATTCTGCATAGGGATCATTATCAGAGTAAGGTGGCGCATCATCAGCGCCTTGGCTGCCGTCCACAGGAAAGGAAGGAGCAACGGCCATTATTGTGAAGGTTTATATGAAGGAATTGGCGCACTTCACTAGATGCGAGAAAAGATCACACAGCTAACACTCTCGAAGCATTACCATTCAACTCTTGTGACGTTGTCATTCGGAGTATTTGTTGCACTTACTAATACGAGTGCTCAGACCACCAAGTGGCTCTGCTCGAGTTGCAACAGATTTAGGATAGACAGACCAAGATTTGGCTAGTTGGCCAGCCCAGGATGCCAGCAGTCAAGTGTGACATCAGCGATGAAAAGTAGACTAACCGTCATTCTGAGGCCCTAGGCAAGATTTTATCAAACCTTGAAGCAATTACGCGCGGCTCTAGTCGAAATACCTGATGCTGATATGAAAGTGAAGATGTAAATTCACGGTCCCCTTCCGTCGAGTTAACACGGCTCAGAGGGGTAAGGTCTGTGCGGCAAATAGGATCATCAATTTTTTTAAAAGGGGAACACAACTTCACAGCATGCAGTGGCCATAAACACAATTGTCGTAATTTTTTTAAATAACTAGGGAAGGAATGGCCTCTTCAAGTGTCACACCCATCTGGATCTAATGGGCATAAAAATGTATGGTACAGCATGGACAGCAGACTAATAAATACTAGAATGGAATGTTTCGTATACGTCAAAATTGAGCGAATTGGATACTGGCCTTAGTGCAACCTTTACTTGAAGGATTCAACAGCCTTGACATAAAACTGTAGGATAATACCCTCAGTTCGTCTTGCACGCTGATGTTTCGGCTATGCAAATTAGATCTCAGTGTTCGAAACAGGCGCAAATCTTGAGGACTACAGTCAGAGGCTACAGTTAATACTGATAAGAACTCTACAGAGGGGTAGAGACAAAGGTGTTCAGTTAGAAACGACGAAGATTGAGCTCTAATATTTTCATAATGAAAGAGAATATCAGGAACCTCTCTTAATGATGGAGGAAACCGTAGTTCTTCCGAAAAATCACACCCGCTGGCTTGGGATAGTATTTAATACGAGGCTATCATTCAATGAACATGTACGGCGAGCCTGCTAGCGCTGTAGTGTGGTCACTGATCATGTCAAGAGACTAAGAAACACTGTGAAAGGTGCACAACCTGCTCTTCTGCGGCAAGCCCTCCAAGGTATAGCTTTTGCCTTAACTTTCTACGGAGCTGAGATGTGGTATGGACCAAAAACGTCCAAGTGGGCAAAAAATAGAGCAGCTCGAGCTGTATTACCAGCGTATAAAACTACCTCTGTCCCAGCCCTATTGCGGGAAACTGGATGGGCCCCAGCGATTACTTGGCTAGAAAGAATACACAATCGCTTTGTGATTATAGTTGCCTCGGTTGACGCTAAGCGCCCCTTACGAAGCCGTTGGAATATAAAATATATCCAATGGCTTAGGAGCCGACAAAAGGTTGAATTGTCGCTGGACACTATTACTCCTCCTTTGCTGAGCCTTGATAGGAGTAAAGCAAAGGAAGAGGTTGGAGCTATCGGGCGGGAAAAAGGTCTGACTGAATATAGAAAGTGGGAACAAAGCCAGAGGTACAACCTGTTAGATCTTTTTATTTATTCAGATGGAGCAATGAACGAGGAAGGAGAGGCAGGGAGTGCGTCTGCATCTACGGGGGCTCAAACTCAGAAATCACAAATGCGAAGATTCTCCTCGGTCGGACGGCAGAAGTCTTTAATGCAGAGATTATTGGGGCAGCTGAGGGTCTAAAAGCAGTCATGGCATATTGTACGGCTAAATACGCTACAAATATTGTGGTATGTCTGGACAATGAAGAAGTGGCACTACGACTACATACTGGGTACCTAAGCCCATCCAGCTCGGTCAAGATTGCAGAATTTCAGGCACGGAGAGAAAATTGGAATAGTAGAGAGCAGTCCTTGAGAGAAGTAGAAGGTCCGGTGAAAGTAAAATAGGACCCGGGCCATTCAGGGATCAAAGGAAATCAGCGTGTAGACATATTAGCTAAAGAGGCTTGATGCGAAACAACTACACGGACAAAAGCTTCAAAATATAGAGCTAAAAGTCTAATAAAGGAGCTGCACGAGAGTAGCATCATCCGGTTTTGGAAGGACCACGCTCCGAGTAGATATCAGAGTCTGAAGATACCCGTGACAGGGCAAACGCCTGAGGAATTACAAAATTTATATCGGAAAAATCTCGCATCACTCCTTGCGGTCCGCTCTGCTCACGGAGACTACGCCACGTATCACAGACGCTTCCAACACCAAGACATTGTGTATCTATGGAGAGTAGAAGGCTCCAGAACATCTTGTTGTATGCAGGAAAGTCGACCAAAGTAAAACTCCTAGGCTACGTCCATCTCGCGCTCGTCGTATTCATTAGGAAATTGTGATCTCAGTGACAAGCACCGACCTTCGGAATGGCACTGGGGCAACCCAAAAAATTGCGTGATGATCGTGTTATCGACGCACTCGTAAGAGCGCACAAGAAAGTGATTAAACGCATGATTGACAAGAACTCGACAATAAAAAGTATTGACTACGGAAAAATAGATTTAGAGCTTGTCGAGAGGATCAATACCTTCGAAGAATGTACCTGCGACAGCAACCCAGACATCGAAATTTCCGATAAAACAATCGTCACATATATCCAACAGGGCCTCAGTAGCTCCATGTGGAACGTAGAAGACCTAGAAGACAGCCAAGTCACAGTCATTCCCGCCACTACAACTAAAAAAATTGCCGTCCCCGCTGTTAGGCGGGCAGCGATCGTACACACTAGTAAGGGAAAAAGCGCTGCATCTCCCAAAAATCACCCTGAAGGTACATCAGGGGTAACAGAGGAGAATACCGCTTCTCGCGGCGAAAATAACCTCAAACTGTCAGAAAAATATCCCTCTGAACTTCGGGTCTTAATCGAAGCCGAAGAACGCCGGACCGCAAAAACAGCAGAAAGCGTAAAGATCTGCACTGCTGCCATAAACGGTGTCGAGAATGCTCTCTCTTCCCTATATAAAGGGTCGAGTGATCAATTTATAGACTCTATAAAAGTCTACATCAGAGCTGCAATAGCTCAATTCATGATATCGGAACCCGGTATGGTCCTCCCAGCACTTCCTTCGCGCCCTGAAACCCAGGCTACTGACAGCAAGATTACAGAATGTGCTGCCAAAAAGTAAGATGAACCACAAAGTAAAGTGACTCAAGACAAAGTCTCCCGGGCTAAAATGACTTGGGTCTCCATCACCCGGAATGGTCTAAAGACTCCCCCGGCACCTAAAAAAGTCGTGCAAGCTATGCCGAAGGCGACAAACTCAACGCGGCCGTCAAAAAACCCGACTGCATCAACGAAATCAGTAACCAAAGATGAACTTTTGTTTCTTCGCCTTGAAAATGAAAACCCATGGAGAACGCTATCACCGTTTGGTGCTAGAGAGGCTATGGAGCAAATGCGAGTGTTTGGATCCATAGTAGCCTATGGTATGTAGATGCCTTAGACAATAAGGTTAAGTGTGTCGCGCACGGGCACCAACATGAATACTGATATGGATCCCTCATCATGTAGATAAAACAGACACAACCAATAGACAACAATTTAAACCAGTATTCAAGCCTATGCTAGAAACCGTAGCCACCGAGTGCTACCAACACTTTCCGACAAACAGATGACTGACTCTGAGCCCATCAGGTCAGTAACAATTGATCCCGAGACCAACAACCCCATCGAGCTTGCCCAAGAGGTAAGCAGATCTAGAAAAGGAAAGGAAGTCGTCCGACAAAATATTACAGAACACGCGGAAAATTCTGTAAGAAAATTAGCTTTGCTAGCTTCTCGAGACACAGCTTCGACATCAGCACCGGAATTTCCTCCGGAGCTGCAATCAGTGATAGAGGCCGGATAGCGTCGTATGACGCAAATCAAGGCCCGCCTAGCAATCTGTTCCACTGCAATAATTAGTGTTCAAGTAGCACTTTAGCCTCTTTCGATTGGCGAAGAAAAAGGATTTGCAAACGGGATCAAGGTCTACCTTCGAGCGGCTATTGGCTTGCTTGTAGAATCAGGGCTAGGTAGCACTTCACCAGCTCTACCTGTCCGCCCAAGCAACCCTCTTCTGCCGAGGGCTCAAGAAATAAGGATACCGAACCCTTCGACTACCCAAAATTCGGCCCAAAAGACAACTTGGGCAAAAATAGTCCAAGCAGGCCTTGGCCACAGCACTGGACCATCAATAATAAAGGCACCACCGCCCGCCCCAAAAGCAACGAGTACCGATAAGAGGACAGCAGCCGACACACGACTGTTTCTACGCCTTGCATACGACCACCCCCACCGACTCCTGTCACCAGCTGGCGTAAGATCAGCTATCTCAGACGCGTTCGGTACCGCAGCCAACAACATCACGTTGGTTCAGCGGGTAAAAACAGGCTTTGCACTGACGGCAAAGGATGAACTCGCTCGGAAAGAGCCCCTAGATTCCTCCGCATCACGGAGGGAATCTGGAATCAATATAGAACCAGTATTAAATCTGGTTGCCTTACAAATTGCCACCGTCCTGGTGAGAATTAACACACTCACAGGTTCCGTTTTCATTACGGAAAAGATGGTCGCCGACGAAGTTACGCGAGCGACCAAACCGGTTCCTTTTCTTGTTCGTCCTCACGGGATCTGCAAACCTGGAGCGCTATACTAGAACTGGCAAGCGCTCTTCCCTCGCGAATCCACACCTCGAGCTAGATTCTGCCTCTTCGATGACTCCGGAGCTGCAAAGCTCTTCGAACCTCGTCGAAAAATAGTTCAGTGCAATCAATGTCTTGACCTCCATGCCTTACGCGGTTGCTCCCGCGCTCCGGCTTGCTGGAACTGTGGATCAAATATGCACTCGAAAGCAGAATGAAAAGTCCCTACACCTTGTCGAAAATGTGGGGGACCTCACTGATTGGATTCGCGGGTCTGCGAAGCCAAACCCAACAAGTTTGGCCCGGCGAAGAAAAGAGCAACTCGCAATTTTTCGCTAGTTCGAGCAAAAAAGGCTAG